TGAGGATAGATGAGAATAGCAATGAATAATGAGAACGAGAAACAAAGAAATTAACGACAGAGAACTTTGAATGAGCAACATACGATAGGTACGTAATAAAGTGTGAGAAGGGAGTTGTTTCTGTACGTATGATTAGGAGAACAAAATAATGATGGAGTACTTTTATTCGAAGTGAACAAATAGCGTCATCTGTTAGGCGCAAGTGCTAGTTTCTCATAACGAACTTAATAGCCAGTTTCCATCGTTAGCTCTAATAAAATTGATAGCTTGAAGACACTAAAATTACATGGTCGCGAGCCGCTTGGCTTTTTTATTGTTCAACTAATAAAAAAAAAGACACTATGTCTGGCGGTTATCCAGGTCGATGTCGGTTTAATAGTGTTAACGATTCGCCAGTAGTTCCATGCTCGCGCTGGATGAATTTTTGAAGGCGATGGGACGACATTTCATCACACCGAGTACAAGAAGAATCGCATCCCACCATTTCATCTATAGTTCATATTTCGCCATGCATTTCCCATGTGTGAACGGAGTGACTTCCAGTGCGTGGCTTCCTGTCTGCTCGCGATGGTTGAAATTCAACACTGCATTCAAAAAGCTTCGCCAAGTATGTATCAAATAGACATTTGATGACAAACTCCTCCGGACATGTTTTGAACAAAGGTAAAAAATTGCGGTTCTATATGAACATCTTCCAAACGATACACGTTGAAAAGGCAGCAGCTTAATTCTTGTCAGCTGTGGTCGACTGAAGCGATGGACAAGGCAAGAGTGCTATTAGATTCGTGAAGTTTGGCTTTCCCTATACGCGCAGTCGTAATCTCGCCCATCAAATATATGCTAACAGGCGAGTCAGCACCAAACTTGACCAGCATGAATTCATAGACTATCTGAGCATCGTAGAAGCTTGAGGAATAGGATCGTTCCTAAGATAAACGTTCACCGAGATTTACGATATCGTAGCTACGCAGGACCTTGTACGCGGCTTCTTCGGGGTTATCAATCTGATCGAGTGTATAATCAAGTGAATCATGCCGCTTTGAGATTCTGTCTGGATTCAGCAGTTCTGATAAACACGTAAAAAGTATATCGTTCCTAATCATGCCGCGAACAACAGCAAACGCATTTATCAATGCTTCTCCTACATCTGTTATACGACTTATACATGACAACAAAGCGTCACCCATCATCCGATTTGTCAGTCTGAATACAGCTCTTTCAGTCGCTGAATGAATTGGCCTGGATTCGTACTAAAATCTGCCAAGACGCTTTTTATGACAATATCTTTCGTATCATCCACTAACTCATGACATCCGTTTCGCTTCCAGACACTAACCAAGTCGGGATGGAAAAGTCTTGGCTCGTGCAATGACATCTACGTAATCGGCGTACATTTTCGTAACCATCAGTATCAGGAGACGGATCAAAGTGTAACAGAATGTGATGCTGACATGCGGATTCCTGGCCTAGGAGGGAACGGCGCAATTTGAACTTTGTGATCAATTCATTTGTTTTCCTTCAGTTTTCTTCTTGCTTCGCTAATTACCAATGGACCAGCTGAAAGATAATAAAACGATTCCATGTCATTGCCGCGCTACCGGCATGTCGTTTCCGTCAAATCGGTCCACTTGATTCTGCATTCTCGTTTCCCTTGGAACACGTTATCTTTTCGACCGCAATTGGGTACAGTTTGTGGGCCTGTCACGTCACCGTACGAAATCTAACTTGAAAAGATGCAGATAAATACGTTACAAATGTTGAGAAATAAGAAACGTAATGGGAATGAATTGAGATACGTGAAAAATGACTCGTAATAATGTGCGCTATTTATACAGCGCTTGTGAACTGTGTTGCTCCGACTCCGCCACTCCATAATGCAATTACCTCGAATCCCACTTCGCGTCGGATGCCGATGCCAACAGGCCATAACCGACAAAGATGATCAAAAGCAACCGTTTGCATAGACAGAAAGTGAGTGAGACCATAAAACACCTCAAGACGGGTGACATCCTCGTCATAGACTGAATGTGGACTGCCGATAAACATTGGCGCTGCCGAAACTATTGTCTTCTCAAAAAAATCCGTGGAAGCGTTTTGTTAGCAGAATACGTTTGGTCCGAAAATGCAATAGACGTATTTCACGATACACATCAACCTCTCGCAAAACGTGCCGCGTTACCAAGTGTGGTCACGATCGACCCATTGGGGGTTGGTGATAAAATTTATAATTACGAAGAGAGTATTTAACAATTCGTTGGCGAACAAGGTATTGACAGAATCTTGTTAATACATACATACATACACACATTCTGCAGATTTTGCTAATGGTAAACTACTTGGAACAAAATATTTTCTCATGCAAGCTTTTTTAATGGGCAATTCAGCAATTGACACTAAACGTGTAGCTGTCCGGATCAATAATGACAAGACATTAATGGCTATTCTGTATGCAAATAAATGCTTATTATTGTACAGACTGATTGTAATGTACAATCAATCAATAAGTGATATGTCTGCTATTTTGGACAAACGATTAACAAGTACAAGAACAGCATATTTAGCGCGCGTATGATACATACACATCTCGATAAGCATTGCACACGACATTAAAAATAAAAATATCTTTGACTGCGAATGATGGTATTAATTTAAGCAGTCAATTTTGTAAATTTGCGCAAGACCTTTTGGCATCAAATGAAAAGCGACACGATTGCGATACAGAAATGTGGTTACTTAAGAATTATACACGTAAATTTTACTTCACAATTTAGCGGTGAAAACGTATTAATACATAAGTAAGTTTACAAATAACATGATATGTCGTCAATGTGTAGCTTTGTCGCTGTACTTATCACATTTGGAGCAACACGAAAACGAGAATATTCCAGCATGTCTATGTTCCACGTTCATTTTAGCATTTGAAACCAATGAAAGACATATTCAAGCAATTTGAGAATAGAAATAGATAGACGAATATAACAAGACTAATTAGAGTACTATATGGCAGGAATAAAAATAGAACGCTAGTGCTTCACATGTTTATCCTACGGACATAGGGGAATAATGCATATCTAAAAAAAAATGTTCACCAATACACACTGGCATTATTGTCATGCGCACACTTTTTCTGAATTATGAATGACCGAAATGACAAACAATAGCTTGGCCATCAAAGCTTTTATGGGCTGGATATAAATAGATTTCGGCAACAGCCAGAGAAAAGCGAAACTTACGTTAAACTGAATTACAGTCTCTACCCACTTGGAGCGAGTGATATTAATAGACTCGTTTATAATAACTTATTCAGAGACACAATATTTTTGGATTTACCAGGCGCTTATTGTTTTAAGTTTAGGAGTCGTATTTTTATATTAATTAACTTAAACTGAATTAGGGTATTTGGTAGTACAGAACGGTCATCAGAAACCCTATTGGTAAAAAACTCGACTGTTTTTATTTCCCGTTCCGTCATTGTTTCGATTAATAATTGTATAATACTAATACAGTATTAGCCTTTTTCTCCCGCTTTTTGTAGTTAAAGCAATGTTAACATTGGTCCTCCGTCAATAATGTAGCTCAAAATAGAACCATGATTTTGTACAACTGTAAAGTGTCGCAGTTAAGCCCTATTATTATCCCGTTTGTCAGTTCTAAGAATCTGATATCGTTGCTAGCGTTTTAAACAACGCAACATTTTCTGACTCAAAACTGATATTTTATTCACTCAGCTTCGGGCTGTCATCATTGTCTAAAAGACTCGTGCTATTAACGTATAGTTGTATGGTAATGGCTAGGGAAATACATTGCTGTATTTCGAGAAAATAGTCTTCATATGAATTAAGTTTATTTTACTGAAGATTGGCTGCACAACCGAGCCCACTGCTATACCATCGGAGTTCCCTATTCGATATACAAAGTTTTTGAATTAAGATTATTTCAATATCTTTAGTCATTCTTTAATTACCGTAAATGCACGCTAAATATCTACCGAATACCAATAAGACTGTCTTCATGGCCAGTTTATTTTGCCTAATACATTAACAGAGCCGACGTTAAATATAGATCCAGGGGTTTTCCACCAGATTGTTAAAATTAACTTTGAGAACTAACGTTTCAGATGGAATTATAGATTGTACGCTTCAATTATATAACATATACAAAGTTGCAGAACAAAAGACAAGAGAAAAGACAACGACAAAAACTAATAGTAACTTGGAACAATTACATTCAATCATGATCAGTGTTCAAGACTTTGTATAAGCTGTTGACAATAATTATTGTACTGTCACATGCTTGCATTTTGGTAATCTCAATGTTGTTTTCACGAGGTGAAAATCAGCCATAATTCAAATTATTTTATAAACTAAACTTTGTAAACAAACAAATAGGAAGTACTTTGTTTGTTTTGATAACTTGTCTTTTTATGCAAAAGAACTAATTCACGTTTGAATAGTAATTATATTATTGTACATGTATGTAGAATTACACGTCTTTTTTCTCTCTCCCTTGTCCCTGCATTGCGCTACTGATAGACACGAGAATCGGATAACTTTCAAGTGGTAAAAACAATGTTATTATTTTTCGATATTTTTATAACAGACATGTTTCTCTAAAAATAGTAGTACTTTACTAATAATAGAAAGTTCTTTGGTTTTGCTATATGACCTATTACATTATCATCGCTGTATTAGTATATACTATGCAATCTAAACAATGTAGTAAGCTTTTCATAACTAAAATTTGTGCAACAAAAAAACGTATTTAAACACGGCATTTTTTGCTTCCCTGACTTTCAACAAGCAGATTAACTGACCTGTCAAATCAACAGCTTTGTATACCAAATCTCTCATCGCTTGCATAAACACGGTTAATTCTGAAAAAAAAAAATGAATTCATTCAGCGGCAAATTTATCGGACTTTTCGTCATTCTCGTTACGATACTCGCTACGCTGGTGGTCTCCAGCCCAATCCCAGAACTCGGTAAAAGGCAACCTGTCCTGTACCTTCCATCCCCGGGCGCAGGTCCATGGGCCATTAAATCTACGCAGATTGCCAGCTGGTGGTGTGAAGATGCTTATTGTTCTCCAAAAGGTAAGGATGTAACTTTTGACGATTTTTTTTTAAAATAATATATATATATATATTTATTTATTTATTTATTTATTTATTTATTTATTTATTTACACAATCACTTTTTAGATCAAGTTACCATTAAAATCAAGAATAGTAAAAGCAAGACTGTAACCGACCCGATTTTTGTAAGTTGAGCGCTTTGCTGATTAGATGTTTTACAACTTGGGAAGTTTCATCTAAGTATATACTGTATTTATTATTTTCTAGGTTGAAAACGCTCAGTCTGGCTCATACCCCTTGTACATCGACCCAAAGTGGGCTTACGCAGGGGAGACGTACTTTGTTGAAGTGTCACTCAAAAAGAAACCAAGTGTCAAAGCAACTAGTGCTAAATTCAAGGTGTTTAAAACCGAAGGATAAATTTAATTTTACTATTTACCCAAGTACATCGTGCGCTGTCTCCAAATACATGTCACGACTTTTGTGGCATTAATATACAATGTCATAATCAATAAAGAATGAAAAACGTTAAATAAAAAACAAGATTTAGAGTTCAGAAAATGTTACAGACTGTATAATTTTTAGCCAGATAATCGGGTTACTACTTTTGCCTCCTAACTGGTGTAAGAAGTAAATTAAATTACCATCTTAATGCATGTTTGAATGAATAACACTAAGAATACTAGATTAATCAAAACGCGGTTTGCTTGACGTATTGTTTATCTACACCAAACCAGCTGTTCGACTAGCTTTGTTGCCCATAAGACAAGACGCTCGTATCTCCACTCGAACCAAGAATTTGTTGTAACATTACGATTGATTGGTTATTTTTTGTTTTTTTTTTTTTTCGGTAACTTTATTTATAATAATTACACTCTATAACAATAGAGATAAATAATCTGGAAAATATTATACTACCGATTGTCTTTAATTGAGGCAACTAACAACGAATATAATAGATAACTCACACCCACCGCATAAACATTACGCCCACAGTATGTGAGAGAAACTTGACTATTTTGTGGAAAAGTTAATATTAACCATTTTGTCGATTCTGGTTTAATTTGCGTCATATTTTTACCAGTTAAAAGTGTAAACATAGTCTTCTGTTACGCGTCTTAAATAAATAAAAATATAAACAAACTTTTTTTCTAATAGTACTATCCAAATGGGTGCAACAAACGCAAGATGCACGTTTATTACATTATTGGAATAAAAATGTCCGTAGCCAGCAAACACAAAGTTGTCTGTCTCAGTGTACGATATGCGTTGCAACGATTAAAAAATTTGGTATCCTTAGATACAGTAACAGTTGTCCGAAAAAAATATTAGCAAAATCTATGGCTAAGCCGTGTACCATAATACATCAATACCATTACGACGCGATAACTTGCATTACAGGGCTTCATTCCTCGTACTCTTGCCAATCAACTCAACCATGATAATATCGACATGTCTATTGGCTGACAGATTCTTTAGGCTCTCACAAAAGTTTATAAGTAATTGCTCGAATGAGCCCAAGCGTCATCTTAACGATAATCGAAAAGACGCTTTATACAGTTGAATACTATACTAGTACAAAGATTAGAGAGCTTATTATTATGACAGAAAAATGGGACGCTATTCCAAAATCCATATTAAATAATTTAGTAAATTTAATGCGACGCCTTTGAGCTGGTTATTGTGAGCGAATTACTGTTTAATAAAACTTGATTTATATTTTAAAACAACATATCAATCATTAGGATTGGCGCAGTTTTGGTAGTGTTATAACGGATAGTCAAGTTTTTTGTCACAGAAATGCCAACTCTTTTGTCAAGTTTATTCCTATGTTAAATTTTTTTAGTCAACATTGTTTTAATTTCATAGCTTTCCTTTCATTTATGACCCGTCAAAATAGTTTGTTATTAAATCTACAATCTGTAATCTTATTTGATAGACGATTAGCCGCTCTGAGACGAAATAAACATGATATAAATAAGAGGTTTCATGCCTAAAACCACCGCAGTTGCCATACAAGGACTATGTCTGCTTTACCTATTCGGACTCCATATCTTTAACTCTGCCATGTTTAGAATAGCATGATATACTTTCGGAGCCAATATACCCGGGAGAGCGTTGGTATACGGGCCTTGAGGTTTAGCTTTTTTCAAACAAAACCTTTCAAATATTCCTACTTTTGAGATAAACCTGTGTGACAGCTAGCGACGTTTAACTACGATTTATACTCACGATTTCTAATATCGGTTTGTATACATTTCTCCTAGATTTTTATTTAACCTCAAGATGTACGTCGATTCCTTTTAGCAGGATTAGACTAAAAGCCTATCGGTCGGGGAACATAAACTAAACTATGTATACAATTAAATAATAATCCTAATTTCGAAAGTTTTCCTTCGAGATTGAGGGCGAGTATAATCTCGGAAATTCGCGGTCGAGAATACGTTTTAATTCTCAATAATTCAACAACTATACCACGATTGTTCTTTTCCAGGAGGAAATTATTATGAAAAATTTTACTAATACAACCGTACTTTATGCACCAATTAAACTTGCTGGCAGGAATGAAATGAAACAATGATCGGGAAGGTCCAACCATAGTCGTTCTTCGAGTATGTGGAAGTGAAGATATTAATATTATTGGAGGGATTGTACAGGGACAAGAAATTGGGATATAACAAGCAATCAAAGACGTAGAATTTATTCCAATACGGTCTTATTCTTGTCCTCTTGCCCTCTTTCCTAATACGCCTATTTCGCAGTTATAATCACTAAAATCTCTCAGGAATAAATATAATAATAAACTGTCTGTCTGTAACCGTTCAACTAGCCATTTTATGCAATATAATCTAACAACTGCTGACTTTGTATAATAAGAAGTCATATTTAATCTAAAACTTGACCCTGGAAATTCTGCTAAAGCTGCTGCTCCTGTGTCTCCAATATTATTGTTGCTCAAATATAAAGTTGTCAGAGAAGAATTTGATTCTAGAGCCTTTGCTAAAGCTGCTGCTCCTGTGTCTCCAATCTTATTGTGACTCAAATACAAAATAGTCAGAGAAAATTTGATTCTAGAGCCTTTGCTAAAGCTGCTGCTCCTGTGTCTCCAATATTATTGTCAACCAAATACAAAGTAGTCAGAGAAGAATTTGATTCTAGAGCCTTTGCTAAAGCTGCTGCTCCTGTGTCTCCAATGTTATTGTAATGCAAATCCAAAGATGTCAGAGAAGAATTTGATTCTAGAGCCTTTGCTAAAGCTGCTACTCCTGTGTCTCCAATCTTATTGCAACTCAAATACAAAGATGTCAGAGAAGAATTTGATTCTAGAGCTTTTGCTAAAGCTGCTGCTCCTGTGTCTCCAATGTTATTGTAATGCAAATCCAAAGAAGTCAGAAAAGAATCTAATTCTAGAGCATTTGATGTTGACAAATGTTCATATCCAATCTCTTTTAAAAATTTGTTTAATTGAATTGAAGAGTTTGACTCTAAAGCATTTGCTAATGCAATTATTTCAGTGTCTCCAATAATGCAATCACTCAATTCCAGTCTTTTACCAAATTGTTCATCATACAAACACTTTAATTGCTTATATACTTCTTCACTTGATGGTCTTTTATCTGGGTCACCATCCCAACATTTTGAATATAATTCAATGTACTTTTCTGGTGTTTCTGGAAAAGGAGGGTCTCTCAGACCATTCAATCGATACAAAACAACTTCAAAACTTTGAGTGCGTCCTTCACATGGGCTCTTACCACTAGAAATTTCCCACAATATTACTCCAAGACTAAAAATGTCTGACTTTTTCCCTCGTTTATATGATTCATTTTCAAAAGTGACAGGATCAATATATGCCGTGTTACCTTCACCTTTGGATGTAGAAGTAGATTGCTTTAGCATACTAGACAGACCAAAGTCAGTTATTTTCGCAACGCCTTCTTGAATAAGAATATTTGCTGA